TATGTCTCGGTCCCAGCAAAGTTGCTTCTGCATTTACAGCACCAGAGCAACGAGCGCTCAGAAGGAAACAATGGAGTAAGTCATCAGAAGATGAGTCCCCTTGAGAGTTGGTGGGTACGAGAAGCTCTTCGCTCAGAGGACTGCAAGCAAGTTTGACTTCATGCTCTTTTGTTTCTTCTTGTAAATGTTTCATCGAGGATGGTACGGGATGGTCAGCGATTGTATACATATGTAATGACATGAAGTTTGAGAAGAGTAAGGAAGTGTTTTTGGAGATAGAACATGAGCCAAACACACCCATCATGAGGTCTTGTCTAAAGGAACATGGTCTCGAGGTCTAAAATCTTACCAGATAGCAGTTGGGTAGGCTAAAATCTCGAGGTCTCATCTGCATCAGGACAGGAGTTGGCTATATTTAAAGCCAAACACACCCATCATGCTAGCAGAATAAACCGAAGGATAAACAAACAAGCTGAAGGCAATATCTATCAGTATCATTCTATGATAGCTTTAGCAACGCCATTGTTATACTGTACAGTCTACTTAGCCAGAGAAAAAGTGGGGATTATTAACAATGAAAAAAGCAGTTGGATTCCAATTGTGTCTTACACCGACTGAGGAGAGAAGAGAGTGAAGCAGTTTCAGTCTGTGAAAGGATAAATTCTGTAAACTTCAGCAGAAATGGCAGGAAGATCAGCAATTGAGGATTCCTTGTAAAATGTACATCTTTCTCGTAAGGAGCTTGAGAAATATCATATTGAACAAGAATATATAACTTGTAATGTATACAAGAAACTGTTCTGTGAAAGTTTTTCACTTAACCTATCAGAATGGTAACATTATCTTCTACTTTGGTTGGCTTGTAAGAAACTAAGGAAGGTTTAAGATATATTCAGTCGCCATTCGAGCAGGAAAGAACCACCCAAGCCTATATGATATCTATGTAATATCCAAAGACATAAGTTGTGATATTTGAAGTTGTCGAAAGCTACTTGAGAAGTTAAAAAGCTTACTAGACATGAGCAGTCCATGGGGGATATAGCTTGACAAATAAACTGATCGGAGTTAAGAGAATGGATCAACTGAAAGCGAGCAAGAAAACAAAATGAAATAAGCGCGAGAGCCCCATCAACTGACATAAATATAACGAACTGTGTCTGACTCTGGTGCTTGCTAGAAGAATCATTCTCTACCATTCTTCTAGGAAACAAGCTTCAGTGATCAATATGGTAATGAAACCAGACCTTGTATTCTCAGAGGAGAAGAATCGGGGTTTTCCTAATTGATCAAAGCACACATGAACATGGAGTTTAACCAAGTGTATGAACTAATAGCTGGAACTGGTTCTTGAAAATCAGGGAATTGATGAATTCTCAAATTAAGGACACAAAGCTCTATAGAATCTAACACAGATGCTTAAGAAGAAAGAGTGTGACGTACATAATCAAGTAAGAAATGAGAAATTAGTTTTGCGGCGCCTTCCCCTTGCTGAAGAAATGGTCGATGCGACGGGTCCCAATCGGTGGCGGCTTCTCCGGAGCCGTCTTTACCGGTCGGACGGTCTGAGCAGGGAGAGGGAGCGAGTCGAGGAGGAAATCGCTCGTAGGTTGGTGCCTCTTCACGGCGGTTCTCAGGTGATCGAGATTAACAGTTTTCCGCTTCTTCTCGACCGTCACTAACGCGGATTTCTCGGCGAGGAAGCGGAGGAAGAGCTCGGTGGAGTAGGTGACGAGGAAAAGAGCCTCCGAATTGAGCTTGTTGATGTCCTTGTCGAGTTTCATAATCTTCTTGACCCTTCCGAGTGGAAACTCCGGTCGTATGTTCGGCGTCGGTGTCTCTTCTTCGGCCATTTAGGGTTTCCTCGTCGCGGGAAAACAAATTGCGAGTAAACTCAATAAGGTTTTTTTAGTAAGCAAAATGATTGATGGCTCTTAGGTTAGAAAAGTGGGGGTAGGTATAAGGTAAAGTTTCACAAATTTTCCCATTAATTAATTGGCAATAACATATAAATAATCTTTTCTACGTTCTGATGTGGGATTGTAACATATAAATAATCAAAAGCTATGAAAGACTGGAAAGTTTCATTGCGACCATGAGATCCTTGTATCGAGTATTAAAAGATGACCAAATTGGGGTGAGTAATCAAAGAAGGCTAAAAATTACAAGAGAGCCTTGGATGAAATGAGACCATACTTAATTGGTTCAGACATAAAAGGAACGGTGAGAATCAGATCATCTCTTGTCGAGCTAGCCAAAGATCAAGAGGGATAGAGAGTTCTATGCTTTGATTAGAACCTTCACCAATTGTTATGTCCCAACTTTTACAAACGAAAAGGAATAATCTTTCATTTTGAAGGAGAAAGCTCATGATCGCAGTCATAACTGCGGGGATCACAATGAGCAGAGTAATGAAGTCAAAAAGTCTGCTTCTTTCCCAACGATTTCAAACTCGCTTTTCGGACGCTAGATTTTTCCGAGATTGTGTTGAAGAAGAAGAAACAACACAAGCGGACAAATTCTTGGAAAAGGGATAGTCTTTCATTTTAAAGGAAAAAGGTAATTCTGAAATCAAACACTAAAAGCCACTTCGAGAAGCTAACTAACGTTTCTACGGTTTTGGATCCTGCACAACATCATAAACTTTTGTTCGAATCACAAACTCAAACCCATCAACAACAAAACACGAACATAACGTAATCTGTTGTCACATTTATGTATTACAGGTAAGAAGAATCCGGAAGCAAGTAATTCCTATTTCTCATTCTGCGAAACAACAAAAGTATACGATATAATCAACTTACAATACATAGAGAGAGGGT